GAAATTGAGCTGTGGAGAGTTGTTAGCAAGAAAGTCGCTAGCGAAGAGCACGCGGTCGGGACCGGAAGTGCTGTATTTTCGTTAAAACAAAATTTTGGAAAAAGCGATTAATTTAAACAACGCCTAAGTTGAGCTAAGAACCCACAATCTTAAAATATTCGTTGCACACTGATTCCGACTGACCTCTCATGCTTCATTTGCTTACCCCATAATTAGAAACTTTCTCACGAGGTCTCTGTTATGCTCTACAGTACTTAACTTTGGCTACATATCTATTTATATTCTAAATGAATGGCACTTAAGTGTCATTAAATAATCCACAAATTCGCAATAAGCTCTAGTGCTGAGTTCGGAAACAAAGCGAGTTCATGTACAGCTCGCGAAAACGTCGCTGATCACCCGCTACCCTTGCGCGTTACAGCTACTTTATTTATATTTATAATTCAACCCAACACTACTGGTCTGTTTAGGTTTCCATGCCCACATATTTCGAAACATATTATCCAAATTAGCCAACCATTCGAAATAGGACACCAGAGGTCTTGAATGGTCTAGAATCCAGCTTTTGGGAAGCTAAACTGGGTATGTGCTAAATATCGTACTATCGTATGTCAATATACCACTTTGCCTGAAAATGTTTCGAGTGCTTGAATTTTCCTGCCTTATAGTCAGGCTTGAACCGAACTCTAGTTGTTTTACTGCGTCGTCGTCCTTTTTCGGTTTCTCTGTGCTCTACGATGGTGAAGATTTTCGTCGGTAACCTCAATCCCAGCTCCAAGGCTGCAGACCTAAGAAAACGATTTGAATTGTACGGAAAAGTTACGGAATGCGACATCGTAAACAACTACGCTTTTGTGGTACGTTTGAATTTGTTATTGCTGACTGGCTTAGCATATGGATAGTGAGTCGGACGCTGAAGCGGCGATTGCTAAATTGCATAACTCAGACTTCGATGGAGCAAAGATTAATGTCGAAATGAGCCATGGTAAACGCACTTCGGGCGGTCCAATGCGTCGTCGCTTTAACGATCGTCGACCTCCCCGCGACGACTATCGCGATCGTTTCCGTGGTCCTCCCCGTGGTCCATATATGGATGGTCCTGAAGGTTCGCGCGGTCCTTATGGTCCCGACAGTATGCCAATGCGCAGCAGCCGCTTTGGGCCACCTGCCTGGGACGAGGGTTAT